AGGAATGGGGTTTCTGGGAAAAGTTTCAAGTGCTTGGGATTCAGTGCCTCAAGGTTTTCATCCTAAGAAATGTGGTAGAGTTGATAGGACCACGGATGTTGATTGTAGGGGTTTGAATGGATTTGCTTCTTCTTCTTCAAGGCCAGGGCTTGGAAGGAAGAATGGTGGTGTTGGAGGCAAGAAGGGTGTGGATCCAGTTGAGGAGATGGTTTCCTCAATCAAGTTATTGGCTGAAGGGTTTGTGCGAATGGAGAAGATGAAGATGGAGATGGTGAAGGAGATTGAGAAGATGAGAATGGAGATGGAGATGAAGCATAATGAGATGATACTTGAGTCACAACAAAAGATTGTGGACGCATTTGCCAAGGCATTGTTGGAAAAGAAGAAAAGGAAGAAGAAACCATCTGTGCTGTCACCTAATGTGAATGGAAATGGGGTTGAAGAATGGCAAAGCGGTGATATGGTAAAGAAAAAAAAGGTAGATATAGTGTCACCTGATGTTCAAATGGTATAGTTTACTTACAAAGTTACATTTATGTTATCTTTTAAGTTTGGTTAATTTCTTTTTTTTTGGAAACAGAGCAACTTAGGTTGATGCTCTTTTTTGATTCAAAATTAAGGAGGAATTTAAGGAAGGAGATTCTCTCTCATAATTTGCCAGCGTCCTTAATCTATTCATATGTGAGTTTGTGATGGCTTTTAATCCTGCTTTAATTTATTGTGAAGTAAACAACATGATTTAGTTTTCTGCATCTAGATTTAGGAAATGTAATTCTAACTATTGATGCAGTCATGTTAGTTGTTTGAAGATCATGGGTGTTGGTGGAATCTGACAAACATAGCATGCAACATGAGAGGTTCAGGAGTTTAGTTCATTGCTTTTGTTTTTTATTTTCATTTTAATGATGCCTGGATTATATCCTTCTTACTGTGTAAGGTGCCTGTTCTGAGCATACAATTTTCCCTGTACAAGCTTGGGAATTGAAGAGGGGTGGGATTCACCAAAAACCATAACCAAACCATGAAAGCGGAGATGCATATCCAATGTAATTTTATTCTGTGTCTATAGATTTTGTTTTTACTAGTTTTTTGAGTCTTCAACATCTGTCCATCCTTTGAAGTATATGCATAATGGAGTTTTTGAATGCAAGGATCCAAACTAAGACAGATAGAGATTTGGTTTCTAAAATTCATAATTTTGGGCCTTTAGTTTTTGGAACTTTTGGACCTATGGAAGGTAAGGTGTACTGATCTTGAATCCCAAAGGGCCAATTTACTCCACCTTGTGATAACATTTTAAGGTATTGTTCCCCCCTTGATCCTTAATAATGAAGCGATAGGTCTACTCTATTTTGAAATCCTAACCCACATCAAGCCTTTTCTGGGAGTAACTAATGTGGGTGTGGTCAATCAAGTGGACTCATTGGGAATTCCAAGTTAAACTTAACTATGAAACTTGAGGCATGAAACATGATTAAGCTTCTTTTTCCCATGCTCAAGCTCAATTTGAGAAAACAACTGATGTACCTGAACTTGATTTGATTAGTTTAAATGATTTACTATATATATGATTTTATGTATGCATATTATATGCAATATGCATTAAAAATAGTAAAAATATTGATTAAAACTTGTGAGCCTTGTGAGTATTAAAATACTTTTAACTCAACTTAATTAGCTCATTGAACTACTCAAGCTCGAGCTCAAGTTTGACATGATAGCATATGAGTTGAGTTCAAATATTTTGGTAATTCAAGCATGAGTGCTCACAAGTTGCTTACACTCTAGTAACCATCCTTCTTTAAATGACTCAATATATTTGAACACTTTGATCTAGGTCGGTAACTATTGGACTCAAGTTTTTGAATTTTCTTTCAATGTTAGGTGTAGTGACCCAAGTTTACTTCATCAAAATTCCTAGAATTAAGTTCAAAAAGGTTTATGTAAAAATGATCTAATGGTTATCGTATCAAGTCAAAGTGTTTGAGTAACTTGATGTCTGGAGGTTAAATCATCTATCCAACAGCTTTCTTTGCAATGCCTCAGTGAAGTTTTCAAGTTCGAGCAGCGCTTGACTTGTTTATACCTCCAATAATCAATCTTGAGTAAGCAATCTCAAATGTCACTTTGATTTGAGATAATAGCTGTTAGATTTGGACTTTCACACACACACACATTTATATACGTATCTTTGTTTAGTATGGTAGCTTTTAGTTAGTTAACTATATCAAAGCTATAAAAACTGAAAGCAACAAAGATTCATATAGAGTTCAGCCAAATAGCAATTGTCTCAAGTTAAAAATGTCTGAGTATTTTGGCATTCTGAGGTCGAATCATCACATACCACATGAGGAAGGTTGGTGGGTTGAGAAAGGTAGGATGCATGTTAGAGTTATGTGATTGTGTTGTATAGAGTGTGCTCACTCCTTATGAATTAAATACAGCACAGGCGCCAGATTTTTTTAGCACAATTTTTGTTGTCTCATTTTTCCAATGGATCAATTAAAGATGCATTGATATATTTCCATTAAGGTGCTTTTCTAATCTTTCTTATTTAATGGAGGTTAGGGAGAGTTTATTGTTTGTATAAGAGTTGTTTAAGACTGTAAGTCTGTTTAACTTGAAAGGGAAAACAAGTCTCGTCTTTATAGGCTCTCTGGAGTTTGAAGATATCCAAGCTGGAGATTTTCTGTTATCGGTTTCCTGCATCGAACTTACAATATTAGAAATTTCTCAAGTAATGAATTAAATAAGCTAATGTACAAATACACCTATTTTCTAGCAGGGTGACAGGAATAGCAAGCTCAGGTATGTTTTATCCTCCAATTTTAATCTTCATGTAGTTTCAAAAACACCCTCTGTGACTGTGAGGCAGCTCTGGCGACCATACATTTACTTTTATGCAAACTTTTTGATGATCAAGGACTAGCTTCAATATGAATATCTCTGTGAGTTAAAATCTTTTACTACGAAATGAAGAAAAAGGGTTTCATGCACTTTCTTAACATATTTCTTGATTGTAACGCCGAGAAAAGGAGACTTATGCAACGGTTCTTATGCATATTAGCCTTGTTTGAGATTGTGTTTATCGTTAAACCAGTTGGGATGTAATATTGTACTTATCTTCTTCAACTGCTAAATTAAAATCAAAATCAATAAATTGATTACATGATCGAGAGACATGCTGACCAATATGACAATCATCATATAGTTTGATTTAATTAGATAAGATAAAAACAGACATTAGGATGCAGAAGCAAAAATGAGGGTATGCATGTTCCTGTTTGGTAGAGGTAATAATAGTTTGTTTCCAAAGTTAGCCAATGCGAGGATGGCAAGGAAGACGAGAGAGCGCAAAATCAGCTTTTGATTCTCGATGTAATGGAGAGCAGAGGAGAAAACGGAAAGCAAACAAGGAAATGTGAGCCCATGAGAAGAAACGGGAACAAAAGGGCAAAGAAATGGCGTGTGAAGCATTGGGCCAACAAAAGATTTCTTTTCACCAATCAAAGCACCTGAAAAAAGATGTATTCAACATCAGATCCCACTAAAATGTAATATCCTTCTAACTCAAATCATCATTATCTTGAACAATATCAACGGATAACAACTTTATGTGATCCACTTCAATAATCTTCGCACGAATACTTTTCTTATCGTTGGAAAAATTTGTATAGGTTTCAGTACAAGCTAGTATCGTGGTTAAATTAATGGGGTATGACGGCTGCTGCTGTTTGATCAGGAATACATCGCTCCTTGTTTGGTTTCCATGGAAGAAGCTAGCTAGCTTAGAAGATTGATATGTTTGCATGCTTTATATTCATAAATAGTAAAAGAATGAATGAATTTCATTAGCATATAGGAAGCAAAGGCCATTGGCATTTGGCAGTGTGAATCATGTTGTTTCCTTTTCCAAGCTTTTGCTTTCTATTGTATGGGATAATGATACGTTTATTATACAAAGGAAAAAATGTTTATATCTGATGATGACTTACCCATTCTTTTTTCTTTGGATGAGCTAGTACAGGACTAAAAATAAAAATGAGTTGGCTACTTTGCTTATACTTTATTTTTTTTCACTTCTTTTGCGTTGATGATTGTAGGGTAATGGCCCAATTCAATCATCCTTGCGATCTTCTCCTAAAACGAGTATGGGTATTGACCTTTCTCTCACACATCTAATGATGGAATCAGTACCATGAAACAGAAGAAAGGGAAAAAACCAAAAGAAAAAGATGTACAACAAGCGAACCTCTCTCCCTCTTTGTTGCTTTTTCTAATTTCTTGTATTTGGAGTTGGACGTGCTTTCATCTTATTGGCATAGTCGTTTGATAATCAGGGGTTACCATGCTCAATATGATTTCTCCGAAACGGATATAACTTACAGACTTTTTGATATAGCTTTAAAGAGTAAAGGTTTATGGAATTGTTAATCCAAGAGAAGAAGAAATGTATAGAATAGGAAGGAAATGAGAGGAAAAGCTTGATTTGCTTTAGATTGAACTTGCTAAATTACATCTAGCTTGGCTAGTTGGAAAGATGGGTTTAGCACATCATTGACTGCCATGTCCGTCATCTCCATCTCTTCTGCTTCATAAGTTGAGTGAACTCCATATAACACATAGAATACAGTTATCAAACATGCCCAAATAGCAAACCTTTGGAATGCGAGCATCTTTAGGGTGGTCACGAGGAAGACATTGAGGAAAATGGAAATGGCAGCCGGCCAAGGCATGAATGGCACCGACCACTCACTAGGCTGACGAAGGCAAGGGACCATGTACTGGAACAAAGCTGTGATGGTGATCATGATTCCACCAAACAGAGGCAAACCCCACCTTTGCTGTTTCAGTTTCCATGATATTGAGAAGGCAATTGCACTTGCTGTGAGGAGGAAGAGGAAGGACAGTGTACGGAAAGGTGGGTTTTTGCTTGTTATCACGTACTTTCGATAGATGAGAGCATTGGCCACCAGGTAGAACACCAACAGTGTGCCGATGTTGATCATTTCAAGCACTATTGTCAGCTCTGTGAAGAGTGCTATTGATGCTGTGCAAAGCCCTACATCATGGAGACAAAATTCTCTTTACTTCTTTCTTTTCTTTTATTCTTACAATTACTCAATTACTATAGTCTATGCACAGTGCCTATGTCCATGTGATTTTTTCTTTCTTCAATGTGATGTATATAGGCTAGGAGAACACAGTAATATCCACAATCCACATTGTTTCTTTGACAAAAAAATAAATTACTTTATTATTGCAAGTGTCTTCATTAATTTGAGGAAAGAAGAAAACGAACTATTTATATTAAACTTGATGGTACTGTGATATTAAAAAAGTTTGGTCACTATATATAATAGAATATGGATCACCTTTTTAGGGAATTGAAAGAGGGAGCTTAATTACAAGAGAAAAAATTTAAGCTGAAAATTAATTGTACTAGACGGATGATCAATTCCTACATGAAATAAGAAAAAAAAAATAGTTGTTCTCCCATTATCATGAATTCAAGATGATATATATGAGATGTTTAATAACAAAACTAGAATATGATTTTAAAATCAAAATCATTTTTTTTTTATATTCGTAAATGTGATTTAAGAGATATTAAATCAAGAATTTGTGATGATTAAAATGTAAAAACAAATAGATGAAAATGTTTAATCATTTTAGGTAGCTTATAACTTCTTTGGGCTATAACTACTAACCATGTCTCCTTAAAAGCTGTTGAGGAAGAGGTTAAGGGGAAAGAGAAAGGTGAAGGGAAGTGGAAAGGGGGGAATTAAGAAGGGGATGGATATCAAGGAGAACTAGAAACTAGTACTTCCCATTTACTTTGTCATTCCTATGTCATGTACTCATTGTGAAGTGTGAAGAAGTTACAACATACAAGGTTCATGAAGAAGTTAAAAAAATTAGGAAAAAAAAAACACATACCCAAAAAGAGTGTGGCATTCAATGGGGTGCCTGTTGAAGGATGCACCTTAGATAACCAGGATGGCACTAGCCTCGCCCTTCCTATAACACAGAGGTACCTGGCTTGGCCTAACATGGCAACCAAGAGAGAAGCTACTATCCCCAAGCTTGCTCCTGCCCCAACAACATTCCCCGCCCACTTCCAACCAATTTTTTGGAAAGCGATTGAATATGATGCATTATCATCTATCTACACATCATATGAAAGAAATGCTTTATGTAATTATATATAAGGATTGTTCCACTAAGAAAACTTGACATCTGTTTCCAGGATTTGAGTTTGTTTTTGATCAAGTTTAGACGATTGACCTGATTGTAAGGAACCATCACGCACAAAGCCAAGGACATGAGGCAGTAAAGTGCTGAGACAATGAGAACAGAACCGACGATCCCCACTGGAAGGCTTACAGGAGGGTTTTGGATCTCTTCAGCCAAGGTCGAAACTGAGTCATAGCCTATGTAGCTGAAGTAAACTATAGCTGCTCCATCAAGAATACCTCTGACACCATTAGGAGCCAGCCCTCCCGGCTTCACCATGTTATCCACACTCCCATTGCAGAAACCGACGATTATGATAAATCCAAAGAAAACAACATGAAAGATTGTCATAACAAGGTTCAGGATTGAGCTTTCCTTTGTACTGCAATCCAAAAAGGAACATCCATCACTTTCAAAATCTACTGAAACAAACAATAACTATTTTTCTTTCTTTGTCTTCAACAACAATGAATAAAAAAATAATAAAAGAAATAAAGAGTAATTGTTAGCTTGATCATAATAAAAACAAAACCACCAACAATAATAAACTAGAAAACCTGTCATGAACATAGATCCAATGACACTAAATCACTTCCTGTCTAACAACCAAACCCAATTACCCAAGCCGCTAATAAATAGATAACAAAAATAAATGCCCCACTTCACTCACTCTCTTGTTAAAGAAATATCTTGCTACAAAAACCTGCCTGCCATAAGATTGATAGAAACAGTAGCAAACAATATTTAAGAATTTTGAAGGACACAACAAAAAGGTAGTAAGAGATCAAACCTATGGCATAGACAGAGAGTGAGAAGAAGAACAAGAGCAACAGCTGTGAAATCCAACTTGTTCCAACCTTCTAGCAATCCAGGAACTCCCACTCTCCAGGAGTCGGGATCACTTATTCCAAAGGCTGCGGCTAAGTACTCCGTAAAACTTCTTGCGACCGCGGCGTTTGATAATACATACTCCAAAAGTATGTTTGCTCCAGCAAAATAGCCCACAAATTCTCCTACACCATTCCAAAAAAGAATGGAAATGGAGAAGTTATATTGTATTGCTATATTATAATTACAAGTGATAAATCATTTCTACCAAGAAATGGAGAAAAGAAGAGTTATAATGTAATGATATGTACCAAAAGTCACTCTCAGGTAACTGAAGGCACCGCCAGCAACAGGAATCTGGACTGAAAATTCAGTGTAACACAAAGAAGAGAGAAGTGCTGATATACCAGCAATGATATAGGATATGAAGACCGAAGGCCCAGAGTAATTGCGGGCTACATGGCCAGTGGTGACAAAAACACCAGCACCAAGCATTCCACCTACACCGAGAGCTACTAATTCATACCACCTAAGTTTCCTCTTCATATCAGCACCAGACCTCAGCCTCACATGGTTAAGCTCTTGGTCTGGGGTCCATGTTGCTAGCATTCTCTTTCTAAGCCTATGAGGGGTTTGGGAAAGAGATTGGAGATAGTTGAAGAAGAAAACTTTGTTGTGTGTGGGTTGAATGGTGGCCATGTCTGTGAAGGAAATGAGTGTTTTGTGGTTTTCTATGAGAAGCTTGAGGTGAGGGTTTAAATATGCGTCTGGGAGAGAGAAAAGAGATACATTGCTATTTGCTACATTCTTTTTCTAAAGGTTGATGGAGAACCAAATTGATGTCCCTTGGATTTATTGAAAATACCTAGTTCTCCTTGGGTGTATGCAAACTGACAATTATACCCTTTAATCTCTCTCCTACGCAAACAGCTTTTTATAGACCCAAGACTCGAAAGGGGTTCTTCTGTTATAGAAGCATGCAAAGAAAAAGATAGAAAAAGGCCTAGTCATTTTGAAAATAAGTCTGTAAGAGGAATAACTATATGTTGAGGAGAGACTTTGACCTAATCTTTTGGAATTTCCTCATCTGAAACTTTGAAAAGATGGGACAAGCATCCCCATACACCTTTGTTAAAGCAACTAAAGATTGGCTTCACCGTAAGTCTCAAGAATAATTGGACTTGATTCCTCAATAGAACATCACAGTTGCAGCAGATACAGTGTGAAAAATAAAATATGCATTTTTTTTCAGAAAACCATGAAATATTTAAAGTTTAAAACGTGTATGTGCACCAAAAAAATGGGTTGATGTTTTCTCTAAATTATCTTACGAAACCTGTAACCATTTGGTCTGTTGTGTGAGTAATTCAAGGATGAGATTCAAGTTCACCATGAGAGAGTGTATATATATTTAAAGTTCACCAGTTGGCATGGTCTTGGAATACTCTTCACAAATGGTGAATTATGTCGAAACTTCTATGCTTGTGATCACTTTTTTAGATGGAGTAGCAGGTAAAAAGCCTCTCTAATATCATACATGGCTAGGTTAATTTCGGAGAGTTTGAGTATCATGTGGCCGGGAGTATGCATTACAATTTCTAAATCTTCTGCCGTGCCAATCTGAAGATGCGCATCAGTTTTATTTAAAGCTTTTTCTTCCTTTTCTTTCATCTTTTCTCACTGAGAAACAAAGCTTTCGGCGCTTCACGTTATTGGACTTGTATTATCATTCACTCTGCAAGCTTCTTTTAATCCAATCGCTAGGCTACAAAAACAGCTTTAAACAGATTGCAAATCCTTCCCTTTTCCTTATTAAGCCTTCAAATCTCCCCCACAGTGCTCTGTTAAAAAGCAGAATTCAATCACAAGTCCTTATAGTTCA